GATTTTGTGTTTAGAGTTGGTTAACTAGCTTCCTGCTTCTATAGTGTATTTTAGAGTCTTTTCACATTTTCTATATTTAATATTCAATTTTCTAAACTGACAACCAGTTGTCGATTGATTTACACTGAATTTAAAACCTATTTTTCTCTGACTGACTCTTTTTGGATTGTTAACGAGTCTCATTAATTAGAAGACTAAAAAGTGTGAATCACTTCTTAAAAGGCTGCAAGCTCTTTGCAATTGTTTCTTTGCAAATTTCTCTCAGCAATTGGCTTCTGAGTCGAGTCATTTGTAAATGAAGCCACTTTAAATACTTTAAGACTGTCAGGAAAATCATTAATGTAGATAAGAAACAATACATGACCAAAGATAGAACCTTGAAGTACCTCAGCAGTTACTAGAATTAAAAAGAATGTTGGCCTTCCAGGATGATTTTCATACTGCGATTAGAAAGAAATTATTTGATAATTTCAAATACTTTTTCAGATACACCATATGAAATAAGCTTATGGAGAAGAAGCATTTTAAACTTGATTGAAAGCTTTAAATATGTCAAGAACAAAAGCCTGTACTTTGCTGCCCTATTCTAATGCCTGATAGAATCTTTCAGTCACAGCAGTGAGCAAGTTAACTATAGAACAAGAAGAGCAAAAACTGTGATTCTGAGAGAATCAGTTATAAGACTCAAGATGGGATGTTAGAAATTTGTTGATTAAAGACTCAGAGACCTTGCTAATAATAGGAAGAAGTCTGATTGTACTATAGTTAGAGCGGTCAGAGTGTTCTCCTGAGTTTTTTAAAATTGGAACCGAGATTTTCATTTTCAGCCAGCAAGATTTGAGAGTCAAATTAGAAGATAAGTTCTTTTCAAAAAGTTCTGCCTTATCAATGGGAGAGGTAATAAGTTCAGTCCCATGAATGAGAGATTGAATTTTAGATCTAACTTTGTTAATGACACTGTTGAAGATTTAAAAGTCTCTAGAGCCTAACTTCTGAGATGAGATTTAAGCTTCCATTCTTGCCTGAATCCGGGAGGTTACGTCGGAGGCGCATTTATCAGCTGAGAGGGAAAAAACATCAGCTCAAGGACTGTTATAAAGAAAATGACATAAATCCCAGCCAGCTTTAGGGTAGTTGTAAGTAGTGAGGTAATAGGGTGAGTCCGAAAAGGAAGTATGAGATGAAAGATTTAAAGAGATCTTTGCATGGTCAGAACCACCTAAAGGAGAAAAAGGAGAAATTAAACACAAGCTAGGATCAGAAACTAAATATAAATCAAGGAGTGAAGGTAAATGATATGGATTATCAGGAAAACGAGATACAAAGTTAACTATCTGAATAAGAGCTTGAGAAATGCAGAAGTTATAGGCTTTAGTGTCAGCAGGGTCAGTGGCATTCACATCCAAATCACTTTTGCTCAATCTTCAACTGGTAGAATGATTAACGATTAATGGAACCTTTGTTAATGATGCTGTTGAAGATTTTTCAAAGTTCTCTAGAGCCTAATTTCTGAGATACAAAATATAGTAAATTAGGAATCATGGAGTTTGGTATCAGACAGTTTTTTTTTTTTATTGATTTCTACGAATGATAAAAAGGTGTTTGTTCTCAAGTTGTTCATTTAAATAAGAAAAAAAAATTATGATTAATTATGAAGTTCTTATATTTAAGTTATATTTAAGTTCTTTTGAATTAGTCAAAAAAAAATTGTGATTAGATGTAGCAGCTCCATCATTGAGTAGAATGACTTGGAACTGACAAGAAGGAATAAAAGCTTCCATAACTGCCTGAATTCAGCAGGTTACGTAGGAGTAGATTTTATCAGCAGGGAAACAAAAGATATGAGTCCAAAGGCCATCACAAAGAAAATCATGAAAAGAAGTCAGCTTTAGAGTAGTAGTAAGTAGTGCAATGGTGAATATAAAAAAGGAGTATGTAAGACCATTGTATGGTCAGAACCACCTAATAAAGAACAAAGAGGAACTAAATGCAAGCTAGGGTCATAAACAAGACACAAATCAAGGATTAAAGGTAAATGATTAGACTTGTTTGTAAAAAACAAGTCACAAAGTTAACTATCTAAATAAAAGATTGAGAAATACAGAAGTTAGGAGCTTTGGTGCCAGCAGGGTCAGTGGTTTTAAAGTCAAGCCATTCAATGTGATAAACATTTAAGTCACCAATAACAAAAATATTGACAGAGAGATAAAGAGAAAGGTGAGTAAGTAAAGAGGTGCAAAGCATAAGTGAATTGTTACATAAGTATATGCCCATACCAAGCATGTCACTATTGGAGTCTTTGTATATCAAAAGATATTAGCCATCAATATTGAAATCCAAAAAAGAATCAATTGAAATTAGTAAATCTGGTAAATTTTGCAAGATGTAAGATTTAACTGATGGAAAGTTACTTCAAAAACAACAAATATTTGTGAAGGATATATTGAAACAATATGGTGGTAGTGATGGTTTTTTATGTTTAGTATTTTAGGTTACTTAGGACAATTAAAAGCACTAACAGAGACATCATCCATGTGCAACATAGTGCTGGTAATACTCTGGTATTTTACAGTTGTTAATGTAATCAGTCTCCCTGAGAGCTACCACAGAGTTTGGAAAACTTTACTACCATCTGTCCTTGGAACCATTAAATTGAGTCTTAGAGTTGTATCTTAAATAGGAGATAATAGGAAGAGTTTAATAGTATTTTCGTACTATCAAGAAGATCTACTCTTCTATTAAAAGATATAAATGAATCTACATCTATATGAACATCATTTATTATAAGATAGTCTTTATCAACATATCATAAGATAAATAATATAATAAGTAATAATGAAAATTATAAAATTGTTTGAAGTAGGAAATTGTTACAAAGCGTTATAAATTTAGATTTATAATGCTTACTGGCTTGAACTTTTGTATACTTCCTTGGTCCTAAATATGTAAAAACATCCTAATAAACACTTCAAAGTTTTTTAAGGAATATTTAGTTGATTTTTATTTATTTTCTACAGTTTATTTATGTGTTTATTTATATCTTCAGATCTGTTATATTTCGATTTTTATATTCGAATTGAATTTCCGTTGGTATGACTGTTACATAGTGTGATTTTTTATTATATTATGCAACCTTTTCTTCATGAGTAATTGTATTCTAAGAATAGTTGAATGAAAACTATTTAAACTTTATAGTCAAAAAGAAAACTGGAAATTATATGAAATACTTATCTGAAATATTGGAGAATTTGTATGTTTATTAAATAAGTTAAAGTAAATAAAATAAAATTAATTATTGATGAAGTAGAAATAAAGTAATTTTATTCAATTTTCTATTTTTGCTATAATATATTTGCTTATATTTCTATATATATATTATATTTATTTTGCTTATATTAAGGGTTATATTTCTATTTATATATTTCCAAAAACATGTCCCTCATGAGTGTTAATACAATTTTCTATTTTTTTTTATTTTTTTTTTAATATATTTCCAAAAACATGTCCCTCATGAGTGTTAAGAGAGCATCTAGGAAACCAAACAGCTTTAGACGACTGTGTTCAAAAGAATCCAAAGAACTGCTAGTTTTAACAGCTACATATTGAATTATAAATAGAAACCTTGGCATATTTCAAGGCTATTCCAGAAGTTCAGTCTATCTTGACTATCACTATCTAGTTGACACATGCCCCATCAAAAGCTATTATGCAAATAATAAGGAAATATTTGGAGCAGCTCTGGAATATGAAGTGTAGCTTGCCTTCAGTATTCTAAGTTGGCTTCACAAAGGATTTGAATAAACTTGCGGATGCTTAATAAAACATGTTTAAAGAGAAAATCTACTATGGATTTTCTTATGCCATTTGAAATCTTTGACAAAATTATATAAATCAAGAGTGAAGAACAGATCTTATCTGACCATCAAATAGCTAACAGAAAGAGATGTATTAGTGAATAATTTGATTAAGGGTTATGATGCCATGGGATGCAAAATGTCTTTTAAGATTTACTTTGCTAGATGCTCACTTGGACAAATTCAAGGACAATAAGGGCCTATTTTAAAGAAAGTTAAGCCATTTCACAAAGATTCAAAGGAGATTGAGCGATGGTATCAAGTCCACTACAATGAGAAAATTATAGTTAATCTGTGTTTGTGAGAAAATGAGGGCGTATTAAAACTCAATGGTAATGCGTGAATTTTATAGCATTACTTATTTCAATTTCTAATCGATATTATATTAAAATGCAATTTTATTATAAAATAAGATTAACTTTATTATTTATTATACTACTTTATTATTTATACCATATAGTATTTCTACAAAGAGAGTTTTTATATTATTTACATTAATAGTCTTGTGAACAATCTGGGGTTATGGCATTAGGCGCAATCTCGCCTACAACCAGAAAATATTCAAAAGTATATACATTTAGAAAGACATTTCTGATGTTTTTATTGTAAAACTGTTATAGTTTTACATATTTTGTTTAATAATTTTGTGTTCTAAAATTATTGTGAATAAAAAAAGTAATTTTTGAAAGCTGATAAACTAAAAAATTGTATTTTTCTTCAAAAATATTAAATTTTAAAAATATCAGTGTCCTGTGTACAAAGTCTAAACTTCTTATTAATTGATCAGGAAAAAACTTGGAGCATGAATTACAACTTGGAGCAAAAAATGTTTTACATTGAGTAACATTTATAATTAATTTGTTTTATCATATAAAACTGAAATCCGCACCATTTGAAAGCACCATTAGTTATAGCAAAGTTGACAGTTAAACAAATCTTAATTATGCACAGGACACACAGAGATATTTTTAGTGATTTTATTGAAAAGCTGAAAGCAAAATAAACATCAAACAAAGGGGAAAAAAAATTATTACCTATATATATACAAAAGATTTTTTAATTTTTTTCAATTTTTTTTAATTAATATTTTTTTTGCTTTAATTTTTTTTTTTTTTTCAAATAATGAAATCAAAACTTTAACAATAGTCATCTTGGCTTAGAAGTAACTGGGGAAATTAATCCAGAAACAAGAAGATTTATTTTAAATCCAAGATGTGGAGTGTCTGATAAATTTATTGGAATGAATTCTATGAGGAAACGTAATTATCTTATTCATGACACTACATGGACTAATTCAGTAAGAAAAAAGTTTAGTTTAAAGTACGATAATAAATTTTATTTCAAAATTTTTTATATAAAAGAATTTTCACATGCAAAGTTTTAATTTTTTTTTTGTTTATTTATTATTATTATTTCATTTTACTTTTAAGTTTCTGTCTGTAACAAATAAAAATATAGTTGTTTACATATTTGATGAAAAAAGTTCGATTTTATAAGATTTAGAGATAGGTAAAGGAGTGATATTAAAGTTATCATCCTTTATTAAAATAAATTTTTTAACTTTTTTCATTCTTTTTATAAAATTTATGTGTGAACTTACTGAACTGTGTGTACTTAAAGTACTCAGAAGGTTTGTCATTAACATTCTTTTAAACCCGTGGTAATGATAGTGAACAACAAGTTAAAGAAACTTTAATTAATAAAAGATTGTGTATTAATTCTTCATTATTTTTATACTTTTTTTTTTTTTTTTGTTAATTGCATAGAGCTGAACCCTCTAGAGAGAGCTTCTTTGAAAGTAATAAAAACCAATGAGCACTATGATGAACACCAATTTTCAGTTTTTAAAATATACTTAATATCAAGAACTATATAAAACATTATGAACTATTTATAAATTTTAAGACGTGTTAAAACAAGTCTTTTAATACAGTTATCTGCCTTACTGCTATTGACAATGCCATTTTTTTACTGCAATTTTTCAAAACATGCATTTGAATTCCACTAATTCATGTACTCTTTGTCAGGTTAGGTACAAACAAAATATTTTCAATTTTAACACTTTTGAATTTCTCTTCAATATTAGGTAAGCAAAGAATTTCTAATAAGAAAAACACCACAAAAATGAGTTTTAAACATTTGAAAAAAAAATGATAATTTAAGTCAGATTAGGATTAGATTTTTTTTTTATATATACAAATCTTCAAAAAAACATTTTATATATAGAAATTTATTCTATTATTCTCTCTCAATCTCCAATCAAATTTAATTTAGTTGAATGTTTAAAACATTATGTTTTAAATATTTTTCATACTAAGACTTTTTTTCACATTAACGTGCATCTTAATAATTTTTTTTTATTTTATTAATTTTGTTTGACGAAGTTTAGAAAAAATTATTTCAAAAAAAAACAAAAACAAAAGAGAGTCAGTGTTATTAATGATTCAACTGCCCAATCATGCAATTCAAAATGCAGTTATAAGCCTAAAAAATGATACAATTATGCAGTTTGGAAATGAAAGAAAAGAAAGAGTGCATTTGGAAATGAAAGAAAAGATAATTTTAAAACATATTTTAAATTGAGAAGAAGCGTGCTTCAAAATGCAACAGCAATGTTTAAAAAAACAGTATAGTCGAACTTTGAAATATTGAATTGTGTGTCGGCTTCTTTTTATTGAGTTTGATAAAATAATATTACGCACCGTAGTGTACTCATTGTTAAACGAAGTGTATACTTCTTTAAATTCTTTTTAAAGTTTTCTTTTAAATAATTGCAAGGAATAAAATTTTCATAAATCAAAATATAGTTTTATTAATAAACACACTTTTTTAAGTAAAAAACTGTATGGTCGTCTTGCCAGGCTACTGACAGGCATTTTTTTAAAATTTGTTTCCGCATCCATTGAGATTGAAAATACAACTTAAAAAAAAGTATACAGGTGTCAAAATTGGCCTGTATATATATCCATGTGTGTGTGTGTGTATATATATGTATATATATATATATATATATATATATATATATATATATATATATATATATATATATATATATATATATATATATATATATATATATATATATATATATATATTTTGAATAAAAAAGGCTATTTCCTCAAATGTTTGGTGTTTGGTCTGTAGAAAAAGAAAACACCCATATGTTATGGCTCACCTAGTTGACAAATGCAAGATGTATATTTTGAAAATTTGGATATAAAAAATTTTTTCTATATTTTTATTACTTTTGCTTTTGTAATAATTGTTATGAAAATTTTTGTTAAAATCATGCAGAAAGATTTATTAAATAAATTTATGAATATTTATAAATTTCTGTAATAGATTTACTTGTTAAATTTTTTTAACTCAAAAGTGCTGAAGTATTCACAATATCAATTTTTATTTGTTTTTAACATGAAATGTTCAAAAAAGAAAATAAGGCAAGGTAAAAAGAGCAAAATACAAAATACAACTATTAATCCTTGAAGAATTGTTTATCTTCTTAATTATCCTAATAAAAATTACCAATAAACCAATTGCTTTCTGTAGAAAATGTGTTGAGGTATTACCTATTCTTAAACTCTGAATCTACAGATTCAGGCTGTCAAAGTTTTACATTGCGTGTCCACAAAAATGTTTTGGATTTGAATTTGTGTGTTTTGAAGGAGTTTGTGTTAATCATTTTGGGATCAATTGTATTGTTGACAAAGTTATTTTTGTATGGATCAAAGCAGGCTTCAGAGGTTATATTCAAAAGGGAGCTTAAGTAAGGTAATTAGTTACCTTTAAAATAATGAATATTTATTCAGTTCATACTTGTTTTTGTCCATAAAATTGTTTGTGTTATTTACTTAGGGACAAATTAGAAAAGTAAAAAAATACACTAAAATGTTAAAAATGAAACCACTTGAGCTAAGAGAATCAAATATAAAAAAAGAATTTAAGTTGGAATTAAATCTTTTTTAATATTTTGAAAATGGCAGAAAATAAGAGCTAATAATGTAGTTGTTGAAATTGACCTAGAATTCTTTAAAGACCAAATGAAGGAAAAAAATATGTTCATTGAGAAAAAGATGATTCAGCTTACAGAGTAAAAACTGAAAAAAGGATACTCAGATTTCTAACTATAGAAAAAAAAAAGAGTGAAAGATTCATAGAGATCAAGGAAGTCAGGATAGTAGTATATCAATATGTAGTGAAAATTTAGATGGATTTGAAACAGTCGACTGTAACTTTGATTCTTCAACAGATGATGAATTTGATGAAAAACTTTAAAAGAAAAAAAAAGGTAAATGTGAACTATTACGTTATTAAAAATAATTTTTTGTTTACAATCAAGTATTTATTTTATTTATAATCAAGTATTTATTTTATAATCAAGTATTTATTTTATATAGAAGCATACTAACTCAACAACAAATTTAAATAAAAACAAAATTTATTAAACAAGATTAAAGAAAATAGCTAAAATGATTATAGAGCTTAGTCCTGATGGGCAGCGGAAGCAGCAAGATTTAATATTGGAATATGACCTCAGACTGTAATTATTTCTGCCTTTCTTCCTAAATCTAATGGTAATATTAAAGAAATAAAAATGCCTAGGTCTTCTGTTCGCGGAAAACACGTTCAGGCAATTCAGAAAAAGACTCAGTATAAGAGGTATAAGGCTAGTTCTCCATTTTGACACTAAACTAATGAAAGAAATTTCAGAAGATCTTAAAATGCCTATTGTTTATGACAGATCGGCTGTAAGCGTTAGTTCTCCAGATGCTCCAGATTGCAGCAATATATTGCTTGGGATTATCTAACTAAAAAATGGTTATGAGCATGCCAGGCAATAGAACTAATAATGTAAAGAATTTTATGAGTGTGTTAATCAACTTTTTAAGTTTACTTGCTGCCATTATACAATTAGTAGTAACACAGGGAAATATGCAGGAACAATTCAATTACTGAGCATAAAATTCCCCTTTGATATGGTTGTTATGCAGGCATCACATATATGAGGTTCATATGTCACACTTAATGGATGTTCTTTCTGGAAAGATAAAAGGTCCCCATAGAGCATTGTATTGGAGCAAGGTTTGCACAAAAGTGAAGACCTTTAATAATATTGTAAAAATTAGTTAGGATGACCTAAAAGTTGATTCAGTGTTTTGCACTCTTGCTGTACTTATTTATGTACTTATTTTATGTTCTAAAGTTCTGCTCAAAAATGCGTTTGCAAGGTTTGCAACCTTTGGAACCTTTGCCAGCTTGTTGTTTTTTATCTTGGTGGAAATGTAACTAATTTTAAATTTTATCAACCTGATGCTTCTCATGAGAAATATTTAATGGCAGACAGACAACCTCCTTACATTAAAAAAGACAAAAAGTATTGTTAAAATAATGACAAAAAAGGAAAAAAAATTAGGTACAGAAAGGAAGTTTTTTACCGCCATTCCTAACGTACTATGGTTTTTAAAAGCTCTCAGTCTTTAAAAGCACCCAAGAATAACCTTGATGATTAAAATACAAAAGCAATATGATGACCAGTTAGGACAGTCTTTAACATATATATATATATATATATATATATATATATATATATATATATATATATATATATATATATATATATATATATAATTTTTTTTTTTTTTTTTTATTTTAATTCACCTCCTCAAGGCCGAGAAGGCCACTACAGACGAGGAGGCTACTTTGACACTATAAAATCTGATTTTTGTATTAACTCAACAAAAACATATAAAAATAAAAATATATAAAAATAAAAATGGGTAGAGGTAAAAACTGTATGAATAGCTTGCGTTTTAAAGTACCAATTGTTTTGTATCCATTATTTTATAGTTTATTTTATTATAATTTTGTATCCATTATTTTTTAGCTTGAAAAAATATATGATGACTAGAGTTATTGCTAGAACCATGCATTTACTATGCGGGTAATGACAAAATGCTTCCACTCTTCGCAATTTTTGACTACTTGCTTAGTTAATCCTTGATTGTGCCCTTGTCGGCAATAATCGTTTATACCATACACATGTCCTATGTAAACAAACATCTAAAACAAGTTTTTTCTTCAATAAAAAAATTTATTATGAAGTAAAAATCTTATTTATTTTAAAATACATTTATAATCACTTGTATCACTAGTTCTTTTAAATATTTCTTTATGTCTACTGTGTGAATCAGTATTAACATATGGATGCTGTTCAATTAAAAGTTTACTGCATAAGGAAAGTACTTTATCACAAAATTGAGGAAAAAAAAATTTATGAATACCTGTTTTTGATTTAAG